GATCATTTCTTGACGACCGGCAGTACGAAACTTCTCTAAATGATATCAAAGCATTATAAAAATGGTGTTACATTAAAATGTTTTAAATAGTCTTAAAATGACTACTTGTTCTTGATTTTATGGAAAAACATTTTTTTGAACAAGATACCAAAAAGATGTAGTAAACGGGTTAATATCTCACAACACTACTATTGTTGCAAAGATCCCTCTAGTAATAGACCTGGAATTCTCCTCCAAAAATGCATAAAAAACAAATTAAACGGAACTTACGTAGTTATAAAACAAAAATCACTGTACCCTCACGAGCAAACTCGGCTTCCCTTAGGGGGGGGGGGGGAGAAAGGTGGCATAGAAAGGCTTACTACTACTTGGTAAATTTATTTCAAATGCTGCAATAAATTTTAAACCGAATGTTAATTTAGCAGAAATTTCAGTAACTTTCTGAAACCAAGCGGTAGGAGGCATTTCCTCTATTTTCCTCTTGCGAAAACCGTATTTGCTCGTGAGGGTACATGAACGGTTTCGTCCCCTAACGACAATAAATTTAGGTTCTGCGTTATTGTCACGGATTACAAGCGTTGCACAAGTCAGTCGTCGGCTCAGGCGTCCGTCTAATTCGCACTCGAGCGGATCTCGAAAAAGCAGGACGGGATCCTCCTTCTCCTCCGTCAGTCTGGTTGCGTCGGGGAGCCGGAATTTCACGGGTGTGTTTCTTGCCGCGAGTTTTTCGAGCCGGGCTCGCCGCGTGACGCCAATGGTGTCGAGACGAGGGAACCGCAGGAAGCAACCGAAAATAAAGTAGACAGGCGCCGAGAAACGCGTATGAATATGCGCGGCGACGACGACAACGAAGACGACGACGAAGACGTCTGAGCCCTCCGCTGTTTGCCCGCGGAGGTCCAGACTCGAAGAGGAAATTTTTAGCCTGTCCATACATCCGTGTAGCGAGCGTAGAAATCCCCGCGATGCCACACCGTAACGTAGCCCCCTGGTAGACAGTTTATACGACTCTGTATCCGTCACTCGACTTTTCCGACCGGTGGCCCAGCCGTGTTATTCATCTTAATAATTCTCCACTCGAGATTGCCCTCCCTGGCGGTAAATATTTTAGGGGGAATTTTTCACGAGTGCCACTCTTTTACCAGCGATCGCCTAGACTCGGCCACTCTTGTCGACTTCTGAGGAATTTTTCTCCCGGCAGATGGTTTCACGGTGATCGTCCAGCAGCGGCAAGCTGGTTGCCCTCTTCGTCCGTGATTGCTTGATCAACCCCTATGTGGGCGGGTTAATTTCTCTGGGAATTGCTTGTGGGATTCCTTTTGGATGCGTACCGGAGGCTTCTTTTCGGCGTATTTTGCAGTGAGTTTGCTGTCAAGCAATGAAATTTAGTCCGAATATTGCGATACGTCGCTTTTATTTGAACCACTGTACGAGCTTGGGTGAATTCTTATCGACAGACCACTCGTCTCGGAGACTAAATTGGATTTTTGGGGAATTATCACAATTTACTGGAGAATTTTGGAAGCGTGTGAGTACCTTTAATTGATAGTAAGTGGCACACTATTCCTGAAATGGTAAAGAAAAATAACATTCAGGTGGTTATTAATCGTTTGCCACCGTGGGATTCCATTCGGAATTGTTCACTTTGATAGCATTTATACCTCATATTATGAGTTTGAAGATTTAGTATATATACTTATATATAAAATTTAATGCTATTACTCAAGAGAAATAATGGCGGAATATTGTAATGTATCAATGATTCTAGGGAGAATGATTGAGCATTAAAGGGTTAGATAACTGAATGGTTTAAAAAGCATTTCTTTTATTAAGGAATTTGTCTTATGATATTCTGTATCTCTTTGAAGTGTCTTTCGTCTCCAGAATTGAATGCCTCTTCAGAAAGAAACTATTTTTAACCTGCTAACTGGTGAAGACGAGTTAACTCGTCGTTTGTACTCGACTTCATCTTCGAACAGCTTTTCATTTTGTAATTACTCTCTCATTTATAATATCTGTATTACTACATTTAGCACAGCAGAATTCATCTCTGAATTAATTTAAATCTCCTTCCATTACATCTGCGTTAATAATTTAAAAAAAAAATTGCAAAGTGCTTTTTTCAATTTTAGTTTGGAATTTTTCGGGACAAATCCTGCGATATGAAACATTGAATTAATATTTACAATAAATGTAAATTTTACACTTTCTTCTAACCGTCACCATACTTGTAATTCTTCCGTCGTAGGAGCGGCTGTGTGCTTCGTTCGAGTGTCTTCATTTATTTTTCCTTCCGGGTCGGGTTCACATTGTTCTCTTCCCGGACGGACCACCTGAGTGTCATGTTCGTGTAGAAATCGTTCTGTGAGACTCTCGGCTAGAGGTCGGACCGTCGCGAGTAGTGGCCGTTTCTTTTTTTCAGACCTAGTCGAAAATTTTCCCAGATAGACGGCGACGCTAATCCTGCGTCGCTTTCTACAACACGTGTTTGACCATGTGTCACGGCTACCGGACCTCGTAAAAATCATATGCAGTCGGAATTTTGTAAGAACGTGTTTCGGAGCTGGATGGATAGGTTGTGACGAATTTTTATGCTTTTTAACACTTTCCTTTCTTTTCGTATTCTAACATTTGCTGTACGTTTTTGCGTAAAAATTGTTGCGTCTATAGTGTACGGATAAGAGAATATATGTTACTGTTGCTTTTTATTGCTTTTTTTTAATGCTTTAAGAGGTAGAACTATAATGTTAATACAGAAGTTCGTGCCCTTTTATTATACAACTTTATTAATTTTATATTACAAAATTTGGATCTGACGTTAATTAATAACCTGTTTCAAGAAGACAAAATATTTTCGCTGTATGAACGTAATATTTTATTTTATATTTAAGCTTTTATTTTAATGTAAACATTGAACTGCCTTAGTTATACAATTTTTGTACTAATTTTTCGTCTATGTTTAATTACAGACTACGGTATTTTAGCAGAATACTTTATCTTGATCTATTATAATGACCTGTTTTTAATAATCTATCTTTTATCTGATTTAACTTTAATGATCATTTATAATGATCTACCTTTTACCTGCATCATGCATGTTATTCTTTGAAGTACTCATGGAAATCTAAATTACTTTTCATTCTTTACAAGATGTATATTTGCCCTGCAAATTTTACGCTTGAGTACAAAACAAAATTTTGAAATTCAGGGCAAGGCCAAACCATGCATAAACGTGTCAGTTATATTTTATTTCCTTCTCTTCAAATAGAATTTCACGAACAATGAAACATACTGTAATAAATAAAGTGGATTATCTGTGCAATAAATTATCCATCCATTCGTCGAAATACCAAAATGTTGTCAGGCTTTAAAAGGTTCGTTACGCAGCTACTAGACATTCCGAATTTTCGCGCTTACGATTGACGCAAATATAGATTCTAGCTGTTATTTCGGAAAAGTAATTTTTCTCGGCGAGCGTAACTTACGTAAGCGAGAGTAACTCAGCCTGCAAAATTGGACGTTTTATCCCTTACGCTATTTTTCATTCTCGAATGACGCCTACGATTCCCCACCAGCAGGGAGCTAAACAGAGCATCATCGCTTCCCAGGTCACTATTACTCCGTGTTAATTTTAGTTTCCTCGCGAATTTCTCCTCATTAAATTTACTTAACATGGACGTCCTCTAAATAGATATTGATCAGGCTCTGGAATAAGTTCGAGAACTCTAAAACGAGACTTCTAAACGCTGCTGCTTTTATTCAGCTGCTCAGGTTCACTTTCTACAAAAATTGTTCTATTTTAGAACCTGTTTTTTTTAGACGACACGTGTGTTTTAATGATTAGTTTAATCATAATTAGACTTGTTCGTTAGTTCTTTGTAGTAACCTGAAGATTTCTCTTTTTCTGTCAAATTTGTTCTTGTTTCTCTGGATGAAAGCATTGAAATATAATTCAGATAAATTTTTAATGAATTTGTCGATTACGTGAGTATAAATATCCGTATAGTTTTTATTAAAATATTTGAAATCGGTAACTTTCATTTTAAATAGAGACTGGATCAAATTCTTCTGGAAAATAAGGTAAAACGATTTATTTTATTAAACGAGCTTATCAATCCTAGAGTTACGATGTAAAAAACTCTTTAAAACATATCTGATCGGAAGTGCTTAATATTTAATGACTTGTTTAGAATACATAATCTCCAACATTTGGCACCAGTCGCAATCCATTCTTCTCAAGTACCATTTAAACGGATTCGATATCTTCATTATCTAACCACAGAATTGTCATCCATACTCATCGCATTAATCTCGCAGATCCGCAAGTGTTGATAGTATACGACTATACAGCGAATGTTTATATGGAAATTCAAACTTGTGTAGATCAATTTTGGAAGTCCAGACACAAGCAGACACTGACTTTCTTTCTCAATGGTTCTATTAAATTTAAAATAAATCAATACATTTACTAAATATTATTAAACTTTCGATGTTATTCAGTTCTACACACCATACTATAAATGCATAAAATCTACAGTCCATACATGAGATAATTATTAATCATTCCTCCCACGCCTCTATTAATTTACAATCTATTTAACCATCGAATAATTATTTCATTCTTAACAATTGTAAAAATGTACTATTCACGATTCTTTAGAAATTAGTTTACTGTCGTGAAAATCGTCGCAACCTGCTCCGTAGATACCCACGTTCCCTTGAGTGATACCGGTTATCGGGCCACCACGTCCCATTTTACGTCTGCGTCTGGCACGATCTGACAGCGAACCGCGTCGCCGGTCGCAACGTTTCCCTACGTCACTGCGTGCGTAGTCACGTGACCGTCAGCCAGTCGAGTCACTCTTTGGCCCCCAAAGAATCGTTCACGATTCAGTTTTATCGTGACCCGCGCGCGCGATGTGCCCGAGAGACCGAGCGCGCCAGATCCTCCCCGATCCCCAGTCGTTGTCGTTTGTCGTCGCCCGGCGTTCCCATTCAGGGAAAGTCCAACGATCTTCTGTCCTTGATACATACCAACCGATCTCTACGTACGTTCCGATCGCCGCGTCGTCAGACCGTTGGCTATCTATCAGTGACGTTTCATAGCCTCTCGTATACAATTCGAAGGAGGACAAACAGTGTATATGTGTGTGTCTCTCTGTTGGAAAGTTTTACTTTCGCAGAGTTTCGTTCTTCGGGTTCCGTTCGTGTATACCCAGCGTTCATGTTTAACGTTTAAGGTTGTCCGATATTAATCACCCAGGGAAGAACGTGAAAGTAATACATACATACGTGAAAGGGTAACTGCGATTCGACAGTTTCGGATGATTTGTGATATTACCGACCGGGCAAGGAAGAAGTGAAAGGGAAGGAGACACGGGAATATATTTGGTGATATGCTTGTTGCTCGATCGAAGGTGTATTGTGTGTGATTTTATAATATTAGATCGTGGAGAAATATTTGTTTGTGTGCATCGGTGTGCGCGTGAGTTCTGACTGAAGTGACACAGAGGAACAAAGACGGTTCTCTGGTAGTAAATAACGATGGCGGCGGGATACAGTGGGTCAACGAGTCGCTCGAGGGACGCGTGAAGGATTCTTCGATTCAGCCCCCAAGATGTTGAAACACATGAATCGGACCGGGCGACCTCGGGTCGTCGCCAGGAAGAGAAAAGGTCGTTCGTTATCCAGAAGCTGGCCGGGCACACCGAGACCCTTATCGGTCGTCTCCAACGAGGTAAAATGACTTGTTTCGTAATTAAGGAAGTTGTTTCTATCGTCTGTGTCTACTCGGTGCTCGTATCTTAACAGCCACTCCGTTTCCCAATAACCCGGCCGTGGATCGAGGAAACGGCCGCTGTGTTTCTTCGGGCTTCGTCGAATATGGGAGACGGACACACACAGAGAGAGACCAGTTGCGATTTATATACATACATACATCGCAAACATTTCGTGGAACTATTTACACGGGGATTCGCGTTGGGTTTGCGTGTCCGTATTCTGTTTACACTGAGTATGGACGACCGAAAAAGTTACGGAATTATTTCCTTTTTTTCTAAATCTGTTCACAGAGGAAGACGAATCAACTCGTTATTTTGTATACAACTTTTGTCTGTCTGGAGTTTTTAGCCTTTTTAAATACTTTGTTTATCTCAAGATTTCTCTATTTAATTGCACTCTAATGTCCACATTAATGTAAATTACATCGTGTTCGCATTTATTAGGAGCTGAGTGGCATAGGAACGTTTTTATTTATCTTTAATTTCTGGTCTATGTGAATGGAACTCAATAATTTACATATATATTTCATTTAATTTTTTGAGGATTGGGCAGTATCAGTTCGTAATACATTGCTGATATTATTTACATAAATAAAGGCTAATCGTGGATTTTCCAAGCTCTCAAATATTTACTCCGTATCGATCTGTTTCAAGTGGATAGTAACACTTGTGGTTAGACTACGTACGCTTATCAAACTGACAATTTCATAAGGCATTTCGCAGACAAGTAAATTTAAATAAATTAAACGAACCTTCTACGCTGACAATGAGTTTCACATATTTGCGTACGCTACAGACGCGCAAAATCTACAGTGTACGTAAGCGATATGAAATATAATTTTAAATGTTTGATCCCCATAAGAAGACTTTTCCAAAGGTTCAGAATTTTTCCAAAGCATTATAGAATATTCGCTTAATGATACTGGAACCACGTTAATCAATTTCACTGAATGAAAAAGCAAGGGGTTTACCGTGACTGGCGTGTCGATGAAAAGAACTGCCGTTTTTCTTCGATTACCGTGGGAATATCGATAATTAATACACCGGCGATAACCCGATATCCCGTGGTCGTTAAAGTTTATTGAAAACGAAATGGAACGGGTTGCGCGATCCGTTCGTGGGTAAAAACGGCGTTATCGTGCTCGTGCGCGCGCGCGCGATCTGGGCACACGGTGCACACACGTGTATGCTGATCGCCCACGCGGAGCGAAGGGCCCACGCAGAGCATGAATATATAACGAGGACGGGCGGAAGATAAAGAGGAAGGAATGCGAGAAGATACGGTGATCGTTTGTTATGGAAAGATCCATTGGCGATCGCACCGCGAAAGACGAACTAGACGAAATTTTCGCACGGATATCGTGTTGGCGAACCGTTGCACCACAAGCATTATAAATTAAGTATACAGATTCCTCTCGATCATCGTCTGGATTGTTCTACACGATTATTGTCCAGGCATTATCCCCATGACTGGGGGGGAGGGTGGTGAAACCTGACAAGCGTTAAAAAAACTAATTTACGAAGGTCTGAAGCATTTCTCCCTATAGGATTATTGTCCTGGCGCGGTCCCCAGTTCGGTACAATAATCGAGAGGACTCTGTACATATATCTGGACCTTATTGTCAGAGTGTATTAAGTCACACTTTTCAAACTTCAGAGGAGAGCAAATCGAAAGTGCAAAAACTTTGGAACTGTTCGGTAAGAAGTCAAGGAGAAATAATCGCTACATTCGAATTATTGAATGGTCTTAAATCTCGATGTGTAGACATGGTGGAGATTGCATTAAGTCCACTACGTGATGGGCTTTACAGTGTCTGGCTCGGAATAAGATATAGGGTTAATATCAATTTTACATTGTTATGTTAATATTTAAACGACTTAGAACGAAATAATTTGTACCATCGGAAAGAATGAAAAATTTGGTACGGGAAACGTGTAAAATGTTTTTTTTTTTTAAACTGGACTTAATATAGTCTGGTTCCGGAGTCCAGATATATTTTTGACTACCACGTCGTACACGTATGGGTGACATCATTTAAGTGCAGAACTTTTTGGTAAATACTATATAGACTTAACAAGATAATTGAAATAATTTAAAATAGTATTGCAATTCTCCCCTTCTAGAGAGCCGTGAAATGTTTGGCAATCAATGCCCCTGACACTGAAATACTTTCATTGTTACGGAGTCACATTTGATCGTAGAGGTCAGCTGTTTTGGCAATCAGCTTTACATATTACATTAACTGAAATGTGCAAATTATTGTTTTTAGAATATTGTTTACTCCTTTCATTGTTGTAAATTTATTAAATGTCCTCTTCTAAGACGTTATTAAGTATTACAATAAAAATGTTTAATCGTACGCACTAACGTAAAACTATTCATTATGAAAAGTAGAGACAAAGATTACGGAATCAGCTTGTCAGTCAGAAACACTATACGAAGACTTCCCTATCATTAACATATTCAATTGCCGACATAATTACAATTTTATACAGAATAAATATCTCAGGCAAGCAGCTTATAACTTACCTACCAGCCAGTCTCATAGAAATTATGACTCCTATAATACAATTCATCCTACTGTCATCCTATGCCACATTACATTCAGAGCCTATACATGTCTCTGGTATTGCAAATAATTTATATAAAATTGTCTAGAAATGAAGCATTGACATTTGACAAATGAAACATTTTTTTCTTCAACTCTCAATCATTTTTCACGTTCATACCCTAACCAGCCCAACAGATTCTATTACCGCCTTCCCATCAACTATACGAACAAAGGACTTCATCCCTTAATGGGATGATTCATTTTCCTTCGAACAAGGAAAATAACAATGATCCTTTTTTTCCCCTTCAAATCCCACGGTTCCTTTTTTCCTATTCAGTAATTCTACCCAGACTCGCAAACATCGATAGTCCAGAAAAATTTCCTAACCGACTCGTTCCAAGCCATCGTATGAAAGACACCAAGGCCAGCACGCAACGATTCCGCTCTGAAACGAACAAAGTGTTCCACAGTGTCAGGGCCAGCGATTGGCAAACGTCACGAGACCGATGTCGCCGCAAAAAAATCGGATGTTCGCAATTTTATAACGAGGAATGGGACAACAACCGGCAACTGAGCTGGCGACGTCATCGTCGAGCCGAATCGATTGTTTGTAATCTGTCGATTACGTAACCGACGGAGGAACGCGAGCTGCAGATTTTTCTGCATTGGCTGTTTACGGATTGCGTCACGGGGACTGACTACGCGGTTCCGTCAGCACGTATATGAGACGTTATACATATGCACTATAATTCGCCAGCCAGATAAACAGAGCATAGCGCCCCGATCTATTTTATATTTCCCTTTTGCTCCGTTTGTTTACGCGTTCGCGACCGCCTCTCATTGAGAAATCAGGTCCGCGACGCTTCGGAGCCTCGCAAACCCACGCAGAAACGGACATGTTGTTGTTATACACGGTGTTAATAAAAATATAGTATGCCATTTCGAAGTCTAGATGATCTATTTTATATGATGGATCATTTATTACCTGGACGTTGTTTATTATACTTTATTATTGGAGTAATATCTTCTGAGTATGTTTAGGTGATTTTTTTTTTCTATAAAGATTCTGGAGATTGAAAAATAAACAAGGATGAAAAATATTACTCTTAATAGGTATAATTATGTTTTCGACTCTCAGAAGGCGAATGGTCTGAGGTGGATGTAATAGACGAATGCAGGGTCATTTTGACCCGTAGTAAAATTTCTCTTGTACGCAGGTTTCAAGAACAAATTGTGCATATAATTTTATGTATATTTTCATGTTCATATATTACATTCAGATATGACTAGAAAGAATATGGCAATAGCTACAGATGGGTTAAATTGATATTCTGGTACAAATTAATATAATAAAGAGATAAATAGTTAAATTTGCAAATACTTTAAATTAAATTTCACGGAGCTCCAACTAAATTTACCGTCACATGACAGAATAACATTATTTCTTATGAGAAAAATGTGACAAATTTACAAAAGAAGGATGAGGGTTAATAAATGTATTATAAAGAGTAAATGCATATTCTGAGCTATTCTGAAGTATCTGTTACTTAACAAACAGTTCTTACAATTAAATGATACAAAACATAGTATAACAATTTCTTAAAAATTTGTATTGGTTGAAAAAGATATTAAGACAGTAACACAAATTTATTTTAATTAATATGTTTCTGTTATTTGTTCCTTACTTTTTTGGATCTCATTTTCCTTTCTTCAGTGGAGGGTCTAATTTAATAATTAATTTAAAATATCATGTTTTTGTTGAAAAAATAAACTGTTCATCCATATAAGTAGATTGCAGATTTTTACGTAAAATAACATTTTATAAAGTAATTTATAAAGACCTAGAGAAATTGCAGGAATTTCTTTCTCTTCTTAAGTTTCTTATCGGTTCCAGAATAAAATAGAAAGCTCGTTGCATTTGATGAAAATTTTGTCCTTTATTGTGCTTCATAGAAGGCTATGCATGCATAAAATTCGCAGTCTACGTATATCACTAACTCTTTTAGCGCGTAGGAGATCATTTTACACTAAAAGAACGCGTCTAAATAAAGTTCGTGGAGGACAAAGACTCCGATTAAAGTCGGATCGGGTTAATTTATAAACTGTTGAAACTACCGCAATGGAATGCCGCAGTCGTCGAGTACGACGCGAGCTTTCGATAACATGCGGTCCAAGTTTCGAATTCCCAAAACGCCCGAGCGATTTTTGTTTTCGATTGGTCAAGGATTTTAACGTTCCCCGCCGTCAACAGAACAGTATTCCTCTATGCGTCGTGTTACACGAAAACACGCGGGGTATTTGTTTTATCAAAGTAGATACTATTTTCGTGACAGTTGCCATGAAAACCATTGAAATCGTAAATTTCGACAATATTTAAATGTAAAATAAATCATCCAGTATTTTTGGAAAAAGAAAATAACATCAAGATAACCTTGATATTTTAAAGAAACAAAATGTTTCTGATATTTTTGGAACGGATAAAGTTGTATTTCTCTTTCTAGTAGGACAACGGAAGTGTATAAAAGACAAAAGTAAAAAATTTAAGGTGAAATGCAACTTACAACTTAACTTTGAAGTTATTTGTATTGAAAAGTGTTGGTTTTATAATATTAATGAATATATATATACAAAAAGATCTATTATATTTTGTTCAATGCTTGAGAAGATTCAACTTCATTCCTAACGATACATTGTTTCGTTACGAGCGGGACCGATCGTCCCTGAAAAACGTGATGTCGTTGTTTTCTGATCGCGTCGCGTTGCTCGCCACTTCTGGAAGTTTCCTCCAGAATAAAGACGCGCCTTCCGAGTGCTTTTGAATAAATTGTGCAATTATAAACGAATATAGTGTTCACCAGTTTATTTAATAGCCTCATAATCTAATAAACAGTAACAGTGTGGCATGAAAAAAATTTGTAATGCTACTCCAGATCATTTTTTCTTGGATAATTTTTCTTATTTTAGTATATTACAGTTTTTATTATAGAGATATGCAGTGTTTTTATAAAAGAACCCCGGTGTCGATCATTATTACGCACTGATTAATTATGTAAGCTTATATTTTTATAGACTAATTTGTAAAACAATATGATTAACATTTCGTTATTTGCATCTGCACATTTGTATACTTTAATAAATTCAATGTAAGGTCCGTGTGTACATATTTTAGCATTTGATTAATCTCCTTTTAATCGCTGGTAATTAGAATTTCACGTATGTATTATAATAAGATAGTTCGGTCTAAGAGTTTTGAATTCTTTAAATGCTCTTAAATCTCTTTGTTACAAGAACAGATTTTTTAGAAACTATAGCGGAACGGTATTCAATAGAAATTTATTTCTTCCGATACTGGCTAAAATTACATAAAAGAGAAAGTCTGCAGCTAACTATATTTAACTTTTTATTTAATTTTATTTTATTGAGTTGCATCGACTATAAATGCATAAAATCCGTAGCCTAATCTGTACGAATCAGCTGCAACTAATCCACCTGTTAACTGGGAAATTCATCGACCAAAAGCGCCCCTTACGTATGCAATCAGAAATCTGATCAGACAAGTCTCTTGCTTCCCAGTGAACAAAAAGTGGCTCGATTTACTTCCAATACAAAATAAATTAACAATCCATGTTTCAATATCAGTGACTAAACTACTCAAAAATATTATGCTTAGAATCGTAGAATTTTCATTTCAGTTTCTTAATTCTCCGTGAGTAATGTGGATCGTTGACGACTCAAGTGAAACCTATTTGTTCCCGGACTTTCCTCCAAATTTGTGCTTTTATTGAACAAAGTTTTGAACGTCTGACTTAACGAATAATTGTATGTACAATGTCATAGAGGCTTTGATAAGTATGCCACAATTTTCTCATTTTTTTATAAATCCTAAAACAGTAACAAAATTAAGCTTGGATAGAAACAACCCAGTTTGCCTACGAAGTGTGAAGAAACTGTTTGCCCAGGGAGGGTTAATTGCATAAAATACGAATGGCAATAACGGTCAAAGAAGCAAATGTTACATTTAATTACGAGGGCAATGCTTGAACTTCCCTCACGAATTAACTTATCTTACCACCAACCTCCTTTTCAAATGACGAATCAACTCGGTTGTAATCTAGTTAACCGATTAGAAAGCATAAACTGCTTATACCGGTGTCACCTGATGTTACGCATTTGCTACGCGAGAAATCGAGATATCGAAAAAAAAAAACAGGGGTCTCGCAATATTCGAACGCGAGAGCCGTTAATTTCCGGCGGATCGAGCACTGTTTTTTTCCTCCCCTCCTGTTTCGCATCGATGGATCGCGATACGCCTGATCCCCGAATCGAATCATCGTATCGTCGACCGGTGGAAATTCAACTTTTATCCCGAAATTGGCTAAATATTCGCTTCTAACAATCGAGTCGCGAGGGGAGCGGTCCTGTGAATGGCGAGTGTATAACCGGCGTATCTACCGGAAGTCCGGCCTACGGGTTCCGGCTCGTGGCACTCTCATCTCGTTGTCTCCCGTGCGTTTTTTTTTCCTCCCTCCTTTTTCCTTCGTTCGCCTTTTTTTATATGCATATATATATACGTATCCACGCACATTGTTCAGCGACGGAACACCGTCGCCCGTTGACCGAAAAAAGGCACGAGCCGCAGAACGAGGGCGAGAAGTTGACGCAGCTGCATAGCTCGTGCGCATCTGCAGGTGGAAACCGGATTAGATTATCAACACGGTGTCGCTTGTTCGGGGCCGCTTGTACGAACGATTTTTTGCCGATCAGTCGTGTGTGCCCTTTAAAACGATCACATGCTTCTTCGAGAATATTCGCTTCTTAACCCTCGGAAACCACACCCCGGTTCGGCACACGTAAACACCACACTAGTGCGAATTGGGATTTTGAATAATTGATGATTGAAGAACTTGAAAAAAATAAATGCAAACTTGAGCTCATTGAGATATTTTCCAGGGTAATGTTTCCTGAGAAATGTAACGATAATAATTGCAAAAGTAAGAAGTAATTTTTAATTTAAAAATTTGGTACCCTTATGCTAGCCAGATAGAAACTGGAACAAATGCTTTTGCAAATTCACACAAGTGTGACACTAGTGTGGTGCTTGGGGATTAATTTTGAAGAATTTTTTTTTTTTAAATCTTACTTTGTCTCTGCTTTTTAAGCACCTGGTTTTAGCGGTTTGTTAGCGAATAATTACATGCCCGAGCGGGCTCGGTTGCCCATCACTGGCTTATAGAAATAAACATAGTATTTCTCTGTTAATAATAATAATAATCTCAGAAATGTGAAGTCAGGCAGAAAAGTTAATTGGGCAGGACAAGAAGTGCTCTGCTGATTCTTGCTGTTTGCACCTGGCCGACATGTGGCTCGAATGGCGAAGAATCATCGGAGTAAAATCTGTCTTGTAACATGTGTCTGCCAAAAGTTTCAGCCAAACTGGAATTTCACCATATCTTTGTCATAATTTTTGTCAGGCCCGTATTTGTTAGGAACAGGAGAATAGATTATTTTTATGCACGAAAATGTTTAATATTGCCAAATCTGAAGAAGCAATATATGCTTAATCCCTTCGCACCGATGAACGAAATCACGCGACGAGATATCTCGTCCACCAGTGCGAACGGGTTAATATGAGTACATCATGATTTTATTCGTATTATATATTTTTAAGAAGAGACGTTGAAATTACAGTTTGGCCGGAAACTTTTGGCAGCCGCTTGTATATAGAGATTTTATTATGTTAGAGATTTCAATTCTCAATTTATTGAACATTTATGACCTGTGATTTTTTAAAACAAATTAACGTACGACGGTCTTACGAACGTTTGTGCAAACTAAGTTTTTTTAAAGAAAATGTCGAGTATGATTACTAGACACGTCGATGTAAATATATTTTAGACTTAGCATTCAACTAAATTGTAATGGAATTGTCACTGAATGAAAAAGATTATAGTATGCCTTTAATTAAAAAAGCGTCAAATTCTTTCGTTTTCAATCCACAAATTGCTCCAGGTCAATCGAAAACGAACACAGCACCTGGTTCGATGTAACCCAATTAACTAATGATCTTTGATCTTCTGAAATGCTGTATATCATTGTCAGCTTCGGGCAAGATTCATTTTTCAATAAATCCAAATCTTCCCCCGAGGTAAACTCTCGACCGAGGCTCCACGCGTGTTGAATTATTCCTGCGCTGTTAAGGTTAAAAAAGGACACCGACTGCCGTGCCCCCGTGTGTCAGAAAAGGTGAAAGGTTGCCGTGAACCAGAACATGCTTGGGCGCAGGTAGTCGGTGCACAGATTAAATTATCGACGGCACGTGATTCACACACGGGCATCCGTGTCCGGTCTTTATTCTGGTGAAATGTGAACTTTCCAGACCCCACTAATTAACACTTTTTGTTTTTCTGTTTTTGCAGATCGACTACCCGGAAGTGCACGGAGGAAGGATGCATCGGCCACCGCACCCTCATCCCATAACCGACCATCGACAGGTCAACCTGGTCTTCGATGACACGGTAAACATCTGTTTCTCGTCAAACTCTTTTTTTTTCTGCAGGTAGAAACCGAACCTTTTCGATCCTCGGGCGCATTTTTGTACGCGCTCGTCCGCGACGATCCCTCTTTCGACCTGAAATTCCTGTACTTGGACCGCGATGAGTCACAAATAGATTTATTTTCGGGTCTATTCCACCGTGGCCAGTCGAGGCATCGAGCACGAACTCTATTATTTTACTTCGCAACAGAGCCGTCCATTAACTGTAACTTTGTTTTGTAACAGCAGCGTTTAACGAGTACATGGTCGAGCTGGTGACTCCCTTTAGAATTCCTTGGAGTCAAATTTCTGAGGAAAAACCCTGCATTCTTTGAATTGTTTTTAGGTGAAATTTGTTCCAACTTACTTTTTTCTTGTAAATTCAATATTTTTCAAGATTTGGGTGATAGGAAACAAAATTTGGTTTGCAAATATTATAGAAAATTAACATTTATTGAGGATTTTTTTAATATATTTGTTATTAACAGCATCTGCTATCCCGATTTTCTGAAAGATTAGTGAACGTAGAGGTAACAAGTAACATAAGAAAGAATGAAAATTCTATTTTTATGTACCTGTTTCCAGAAAACCAAAGATTTGTTTGAACAATCCGCTTGGAAAAGGAGTCATTGGTATAAACTTCCAAATAAATGATCATTTTGGAATTCTATATATAAACACACATAATACACATACATATACATATAAAATAAATTAGACAACGCCAATATGAATTTATAAAAATTAAAAATTTTATGTATATCTCATCTATTACTAAAACTTTCCAAATTCTAGTCCCTACACTGCAGATGTTCTCACAAATTCACGTTCTCGTAGACTTTTTTTGTAAAAGAAGAAAAAACAGCTAATTAACCTTAATTTATTTCTGAAATTAATTAGCTGTTTTATCTTGTTGGGCGCTCAGTGGGTGCACATCAGATTTTAAACGTTTACAGCGTTAATAAACGTGCAAAATAAAACAATGAACTTCAGTTTATGAAATTCATTACTTTGTTTTGCACGTTCATAAACGCTGTATAAACGGATCAAATCCTCCATCTACTTTAAAAAAAATAAACTTCCAAGAGACAAGCCGAGTACCTGTAATCGATAGTGCAGTCGGTGTCTCGTGACGATCCATCGCGATCGAGAGCGAAACGTGCGAATATATCAGATGCAACAACGCGACAGGTATGCACCATTGTTATCCGTCGTTAGGTCATAGCGTGCACTTTTGCCGATCATTTATCTCGCGTCATCGGGCTGCTCGTTAGAAGAAAGTTTAATGTCGTCGATCCGTGACGTATACACGGGACACCCACGTGTTCCTCGTCAATCGGATGAAACACTATAACAGAGACAGAGATAGAGACAGTGAGAAATAAAAAAGAGCCGAGGGACACAACGAACGCGGCGGAGTCGCAGAAGTTTTAAAGCAATCTCTACCTCGTTGCACTTTCTCATGCATTTCAAATGCACCCGGCTAGTTCAGCGGCGAGGCGAGAAGTTTTATCAGTCCGTGAATTTTCTTATTTGCATCGGCGCGCACATACGGAAAATTTCCTAGGAAGGAGAGTAAATAGCGGTCGTCCCCGAGCGGAGAGAGGTTTTACTCCGACTGAAAGTGGAACGCATCGGCGATTCATGTGTGTGCATCGCCGGGAAAAAATTTATGTTTTTGTTACCCGACCCCGGGAGGAACGTTTGCTTTTTCCCGAGTGCATTCTGGATCCGTTCGGATTTATTTTGCGGCGGTTTTTGGAATTGTTCGCCGAACGTGTAATGGCGTATTTTGAGGTATATGAAAAAGGTAGAAGGTATTTGGGATCTTTTTTCGGATAGCATGGATATTTTCGAAATTTTATTTTTACCATTTTTCTTTAATTATATTAACGTATCGGTAACGTGACTTCAAGATTAAAGGAAGTATTTCTGTGACGAGTTCGAAATTTCAGGTTTTTGTGATTTGTTTATGCAACAGCCTTTTTTGGAGCATAAACTACCGTTTTTGGCGTTCGAAAGAATAATTATATTTTCAATTAAAAATATTAATTAAAAAAGAATAATGTAAGAGAAGTATCTGTATGATAGTTACAATTAATATGAGTTTATATATGAATTATCATTAATGGACAATTTTCATTTCTTTGATAGTTAATCCAAAATACATCTGTTTTTTTTCCCGTAAAAATATGTTAGCTTCGTTTGTGAAAGTTGTTACTGGTTTCTACGCTGCGATCTAGATCTTTTCGTGGATAAGTCCATAGTGTATAAATGTTATTGATCTTTGCTGAAGGAGATTGCTTCACAGTGGCTCGCACGGTTGCATACATCGCGAGTATATGAAATCCGCAGTCTACTTATGTCTCAATGCAATATTACCCAAACATACGACAGAAGTCGTATGTGACGATCATTTTATTGCTCACTACTCTCGGTTTCGAAACTTCACCGAAGCACAGTTTGTGCGAATAAGATGATCCACCGAAGAGTCCTTAACGAGTCCCTGGAATGCATATTGGTCGCATGCACTGGTATGCTTCTCAGCCGAGTAGGAAGAAACTGAATGGAAGAGGCAATTTGGAAAGTCTGGGGAGCAGGACAAAAGGAAAAGTGAGACACGGGCACGACATAACGGGTCGTATAAATCATCCGTCGGGTCGGCCAGTGGCCTTTGAGCAGTTACTATCCGCTGTTGGATGCTTTGAGCAGACCGGTACTCTCTTCACCGTGCATTCTTCTTCTCTCTCAGTCGTTCACCGACTGACGATTGACCGACCGTCGACTCCTTAAGCTTGATTCACACGATCGTCCTTTTCCCTTCGGGTCTCGACGCGGCGATGGATCATTGCTGAAATCGTGTTCCGATCCAACCGGATTTTTTGCATAATGTTGCAAAGCTTGTAACCGGAGCCGATGAATTACCGATCGGTGCAACGATCGAGTGGTTGTCCTTGTTCATATACCTACGATAAATATTCATGGGGAAAATTGTATCTACACGGATCCGTCGAATCGCTACTCGTGGAACAATGAATTTTCCTCTTATCGCTTCTTTAAAAATGAAATAATTACTACAAGAATATATTTTCGTGCAGTAATCAACAATTCACCGAATGAATGCTACGGTTTTTAAATATATATTGTCGTATGTGATCGTCGGACGGTGAATGGTACGAATGTAACACGGTGAGCAGATGCTGATTCATTTTGATTTTTGATCGATGAGCAAGAATAGCGCACCTGTAACATTTATTATATTTCACGAAAATTAATATATAATATACTTGCAACAGAATTACCTGACTTTCGCAAAGGAACGTTTACGTTCTCAATGTCATATAATAAAGTGCAAAAGTTATAGAATAAATATACAAATATTTCAACTTTACGAGCGCTTTTGTAATTACTTTGCGTCTCATGACAAAAAATATGATGAGGGATCCCGTCATTGGGTCAAAAGAAGGACCCTGCATCTGCTGGATGATAGTTCAAAGCTCACGGAAATGAAGTATGTATATGAAATCATGTGTCGAAAACAGTATGTGGTCAATAATTGACTATTAATGAGGGCTGTAGCGCAAAATTTCGACGGACATTTTCGACATGTCGTCGAGGGAGAAGTGTTTTGTTACTGGCACGGTCAGAAGCTACAGGTGGGCCCCCCAACGTGCGCCCCCCTGTTGCGACGGACCTGAAGCTTGCCGCTCGGTCGGGTCACGTGACCCTACGCTTTCGATGGGAATGCCGGCGGCTGGAGGAAGGGTGGGGGAGGGACGAGAGGCAGTCCCATGTCCGCTACTCCGCTAAGCTGATGGCCCACGACACGGGCACACCAGACGCGCCACGAGCTTCGTAAACGCACACAAAGAAAGTCACGTCGCTCTACGTGTGCACGGTCGCATATGCGTTCGTGAACAAGAAGGTGCGACCTGCGCGAATTGTATCGAATCGCGGCGAAATAATCGTACGAGAATGTGGCCGGACACTGTTTGGTTTCCACGTTGTTCGTCGTGATAGCCGACTTGGTAGTGAAGTGAACGGAACAAGTGCCATTATTAAGGATAGGATGGACGCCTTCGGCATGTACCAAGTGAGTCTGGACGGACAATCTCCCGCGGCTCAAAATGGCCTTGGTTTATCGCAATGCTTTCCTCGTTCCCGAGATTTCCCGCTGACGGTTCGTGTTATCGTGAACGTTCGCGGATGATCATCGTCAGATGATTATCGTGATATGACAGATGTCACGATGTTTTTGTTTAGATATACGTGTGTGCCACTATTCTCTGTCTCTGTCTCTCTGCTCCGTTCGATGCTGCATGTGTGATGTCATGTCTGGGAACCTAACCTAACTTACGAACGGGAGTCTGTACACCCATCACGCCCATTCCTGGTACTATTCCGTAAACGAGCTCCGCTAGTAGAACCTGTGTTTTTTGTCCTACATGTTTCTCGATCCCGTTTTCTTTCCAGCGTCCCCCTGCCGATCGACAGATCTCTATCGATCTGTAGAGATTGTATCGGTGCACGTTACCTTTGTGGGTTTTTATATTTTTAAAGAGAAACTCTGATTAAACGGTGTACTGATATCTTCTCTTGGACGGTACCGTGTTAATGTTTATAATTATGATGATACATTGCAGTGAAGAATGTGTTTGCTTTGTATCAGGATGCTCTGATATGAAGTTTTATGTAAACATGGTATGTTTATTGCGAGGGCTTAGGAATAATGTAGCAGATATTATTTCAATTGATTTAGAAATGTTACAATGTATATGACGTTTTTTTTAAAAACATTGATGTAATTTTTATGAATAAGTCTTCACTATATGAGAGTAGCCGTATTTTGTAATAGATCAATGGAACCTGTAGCTTTTAATTAATTAGAAAATTATTTTTTTCTGTGCAGTTTTCTCAAGGCCTGACTGGCAGGCCAGAGCTATACCAAAAGTCCAACAGAAGCAGCCATTCAAGTGACACGAGTTCAGCATATAGTGGTTCAGACACAATGACATCTGTCCAAAGTTCGTTGGATGCAGATCCAGACGATGTTGATCTGTCAGGGCTCGTTGAATCTGTTGTGGATAGCGATGAAGAGGAAGATCTGGCAGAGAGCATGGATGTAAGAGCTGGTTACAATTCTATGAATCTCCAAGTATAACTTTGGAATTTAAACTAACATTGAAATAACATATATTTATCATCAACATTTTTAGAGCTTGACTGTTCGTGATCCAGTCAGGGAATGCTTAGAGAAAGATCCTATGGAAAGAACTGAAGATGACATTGAAACACTGTTAGAATTTACACAACAGTTGAAGGCCTTTACAAACATGACCCTGGCAGTAAGAAGAGCGCTGTGCGCTGTAATGGTGTTTGCCGTGGTAGAACGTGCTGGTATGATAGTTTTAAATGATGGCGAAGAATTAGACAGTTGGAGCGTGCTTATCAATGGTGCTGTGGAAATCGATCACAGTAATGGAGACATTGAACAATTGCACCTTGGTGATAGTTTTGGAATCTTGCCCACCATGGAAAGACTTTTGCATAGGGGTGTCATGAGGACAAAGTAAGTACTGTGTTGCAGATGTACTTCATGTAATAGAAGTTCAACAATTAATTCAAGAAAATTTTTCTAAGAGAATACATTCCCTTTCAGATGCGATGACTGCCAATTTGTATGTGTCACACAAGCGGATTACTTTAGGATTCAACATCAAGGTGAAGAAAATACAAGGAGGCACGAAGAAAATGGGAGAGTGATTCTAGTGACGGAATTAAGGGGTGCTTTAGACGGAGGAGCACGCAGGGGTCATGTTGTTATTCGTGGCACTCCCGAGCGTTTAATGTTGCAACTTATCGAAGAAAACAGTATTACCGATCCCACTTATATAGAAGACTTCTTATTAACCCATCGAACATTTATTGATAGTCCTTTATTAGTTGCAAGTCAATTGTTAGAGTGGTTTGACCAGGCACAAGTCAGAGACAGAGTTGCACGTGTAGTGTTACTCTGGGTAAATAATCATTTTACAGATTTCGAAACTGATCCAGCTATGATGGAATTTTTAGAAGCATTTGAAACTGGATTGGAAAGGGAGAAAATGCAGGGGCAACAAAGGTACATTTCAATATAATTCTACTGTACAGGCAACCCTCCTATAACACAGTGCTTTGAGAACACAGGATTGATATAACACAGTAGAAAGATTCTGCAAAATTTGAATGGAATCTATAGGGGATTCCCTCTGTATGAGTAACTAAAATGTTACCTCGCAGTTTCACGCAACACGGTTGCCGTACAATACAGTCCGAATTAATCGTGTTATAGGAGGGTTCGCTGTATTTAAGGAACTGTAGTTATTTGAACGATAGTATCATTCAATCGTATTTTAATAAATTTCAGATTATTAAATATTGCCTGCGCAGCGAAGGCAAGGACGCGAAATGTAACGTTAGCGAGGCCCAGTAGAGACGAAGTTTTGCATTTTAGTATTTTAGGCGGTTACGAAAGGGGTTTTGGTATTTTTATTTCAAAAGTCGACAAGAAGTCGAAGGCTGAAGACGTTGGTTTAAAACGGGGTGATCAGATTTTAGAAGTAAACGGACAAAGCTTTGAGCATGTCAGTCATGCCAGAGCTCTGGAAATTTTAAGAGGATCTACTCATCTTAGTATAACCGTGAAATCGAATTTACTTGGTATGTGGCATCATTTAGAAACAACGATTGATTATTGTGTTCCTTTTATACGAGCGATAAATTACTGTTGTAGCGTTTAAAGAAATGCTTCAGATGCCAGATGATTCGCCGAGGCCGCGGGGAAGAGCAAATAAACCCGAAATTTCGAGACTCCAAACAGACCCACGTGCAAGGTTGTCCACGCACGTGGACCCGATAACCCCTGTAAATCCACTAAATCCACTAGTGGGCGGTGTTCCGTTATTAATTCCTGACTCTAATGTGTCCCCATGCAAAGATGCTAAAAAGGAACATAAGGGATTCATGACGCTCGGACCGAAAAGGAGGTTTCATAAAGCTCTTATGAAAATGAACCTACTACCAAAGAATACTATTAAGTAAGTTCAACAAAGTATTTTATTAAATTTCATATTAGATACTCTATGCAGTGTAATAAACGTGATACTTTTGTTACAGTGACGGTGTACATGTAGACGATCCCCTCGCACCTCCCCACACACCACCAGGAACAGGACTTTCTCAGACCACCACCAACCTTTACCACTCCAAAAGTAATCCTGACCTTACATCGTTATGTTGTTACGACGACTTAAGGGCACCTGATTATCCCGAGCACGTTTTGAAAGTTTACAAAGCTGATCAAACTTGTAAATACCTTCTTATTCATAAAGAAACAACGGCGCATGAGGTAGATACATTTAATCGTGAGAAAGATCGTATACGGCTGGCGACTCTTCTATTTCTATGTTAATGTATATCCTTTTAGGTGGTAATGCTTGCTCTTCAAGAGTTTGGTATAACTGAGAGCAGCTCGAACTTTTCTTTGGCCGAAGTTAGCGTCGGAGATGGGGGCATGATCAAGCAACGCAGGTTACCCGATCAGTTGCAAAATCTCGCGGAAAGAATTGGCTTAAGTTCTCGATATTATTTAAAAACTAACGGTATTTCGGAAACGCTCGTGGCAGACGACCAGGCGCCTGAGCTCATTCGTGAATCTCAGGTTCATTTCTTACAATTGAACGCTGTTGAAGTCGCCATTCAGTTGACTTTACAGGATTTCAGTATATTCAGGTAAATTGGAAAACATTTCGAAGTTATGTCTTAGAAGTACACAAACAACAAATTTTTTAATTAAATCTCGATTCTCAGGCAAATTGAATCTACGGAGTATGTGGATGATTTGTTTGAGTTGAAAAGCAGGTATGGAGTGCCTATGCTCAGGCAGTTTGCGGAACTAGTCAACAGAGAAATGTTCTGGGTTGTGACAGAAGTTTGTTCTGAACATAACCTTGTTCGACGTAGTAAAATAATAAAACAATTTATCAAAATAGCTCGTAAGTTTTTTATTCGTAACGTAAGACTCCGGTTGTTTCATTTTATGGAAAGGTTCTAACGTGTTGTTCTTTTTTTTTGTAACCAGGCCAATGTAAGGAGTGTAAGAATTTCAATTCCATGTTCGCGATTGTATCTGGTTTGGGTCACGGAGCAGTCTCACGATTACGAGCTTCTTGGGAGAAACTGCCAAACAAATATCAGAGGCTATTCAGCGATTTGCAGGAATTAATGGATCCCAGTCGTAACATGAGCAAGTACAGACAATTGGTAGCGTCTGAACAAACACAACCTCCTATAGTACGTTATCAATTTATATTTCATAGAACACTTTAATGCTGTCTGTACTTTACAACTTCAGTGTCATTAAACATTTTATTTTCTTTATAGATTCCATTCTATCCCGTGGTAAAGAAAGACCTGACGTTCATTCATCTTGGCAATGATTCCAGAGTAGAGAGTTTAGTAAACTTCGAAAAGTTGAGAATGATCGCGAAGGAAGTAAGAACGTTAACGAACATGTGTTCGTCGCCGTATGACTTATCGATTATGTTGGAAAGAGGTGGTCAACCACCTAGTTCCGCCATGGTCGCTCTAAATCAAATGACCACTGGCAATCAAGGTAAAATAATAAAAATTTATCGAGGTCTGATCAGCGACAGTATATGATGGTTTATTTTCACTAACAGTATTGCATTGTCCAGGAGGACAAACTGCAACCGTGAAAAGGCGGAAAAAGTCCACCGCTGCGCCGAACCCAAAGAAGATGTTCGAGGAAGCGCAGATGGTTAGGAGAGTGAAGGCTTATCTCGCGAACATGAAAGTGTTAACGGACGAGGAGCGATTGCACGCTTTATCCGTGGATTGCGAGCCTCATGCCGGAGCGGTTGCAGTAGCTGCAGCAGTGCCTCTCAGTGCAAGCAGAGGAAGGAGGCATCCATCTCCTACTCTGTCTACTACAAGTAGCGCTAGCAGCACCAGTGAAGGTAGAAAGAGTATACAAGGTAAGAACTATGTGTGTAAACGAATTAAAAGAGCTGTTACAAAATTATAGGATGCGTTCAACGTCTGAAATCTGACAACAAACGTCCAGCGTAGAATTTTTTTATTTTGAAGTTATAGTATGACGTTAAAGTACGTGTTACTTAAGATACTAAATGAACATTTTCAGGTACAAAGTTTGGAGCTGCCTCGCCGCAAGCCGTAAGGAAAATGCTGGCGCTCTCCGACCCGCATAAAACTCGTCCATACCAACCGAAACATTGTCCACCGCCGCTTCCAGTGCCAGGATTAGCCTTGCATTCCACTGGACTAGAGCCTAGCCCTGGCGCGCCCAGGAGAGTAGGATCTGGTAGCCGAGTACCTATGCATGAGAGATCCCATAGCGATACTCCTTCCAGTTTACCACCGCCTGTCGATCTCAGCGCTGAAAGTAGTAGCGTGACCAGCCTGAGCAATCTTCAGCCTTTAAGGAAAACGTTGACCAGTGGTAAGTTCGACGATTCTTGATAACCGAAGAAAAATGGTTCGATACGAGATGGCGTCTGTCGGTTCGACACGCACTATACACACACGTGAATATTTTATGGTATTATTGAATATTCTGTGTCCTTTTTTCTTTTGTCTATATTGCTCGAGCTTTAGACGACAATATCACACACGGTGCTTCTTAAGTCTTTAGTTGTCGTTTTTTTTTTTAATTTCGTGAACGTGTTAGTCTTATACCAATACGATAAATAGTGGACACATCTCGTGAAGTACCATCCTCGTGCACCTTCATTGCTCGTGACATTACACTTTGGTCAGGTCTCGGTAACGAGATACTCTCTCATTTTTTTCTGCACGCTGCACAGCCGTTTACGCAATTCATAAATGTTCCATGTTATATTTAGCTTCTCCATTTTTACACGCATCTTGTACGCCGATTACCGTAGCTCGCGCTTCTTTTCGATCAATATTATCGGCCCGAGTGTATCTATATATATATCTATATATATCTATATGTGTATATATATAAAGGAGTTTCGATTTTTATTATTTATAGTTTTTTAATGTTAAGCAGTTTTAAACAATTTAGAATAGTACCTTCAAATTTTACGCATTACACTGATTTTCTAAATTTCAACTAATGAGTATGAGAAACACAGTTTTATATATTACTATGAACAATTCTTATGAAACATTCATTTTATTAGGTTCAGTAATAAGTTCGATCGAATTTTTAAAATGTAATTTATTTTTTTAAATCCTTATATTAAACGACTAGGTTATTTTTAGCTGCAATTCGGTATGAAATGTCAATTTTTTAGACATAGGTAATAACGATGGTGATAATAATATACATATATTACATACATTTTGCAGATTGATTAATTTAATTGAATTAAGCGTAAGTTAGGTACAATTTATTTTACAACTGGAAAAATGTGACAAATGCTGTTTTTTTTTATGAAATTCGGAATAAGAGCTTGTGGCACTTAATTAAATGTCTCACACACGATTAGGAAATCTAAGATGATGATTAAAACGTAAAGTTTCTAAAGTGGAAAATTTAATCGAATAAAATATACATTGTCTATCGATAATTCTCGTTTCAAGAACAGTATACGCTTTCCCGTGATACACAATCAGCAACTCTACTACATAACTTAAAAAATTCGAACGAACTTATTACTCGATCTAACGCAACCCAAAGTTCACCAACAACCCGCTACCGAAACTCGATTAATACAATAGCTTCTTCGTTAAAAGTAGCCGATAGTCGCTTACAGAACGACAGACCAGTAGGCTTGCATCGAAAAAGCAAACGCTGTGCGAGCAGAAATTCAAAATGGGACCGAAACGAGCTAATTCGCGTCGCAGTCAAAAAATAAAAAAAAAAAAACTTCAGAAGCTCCGATCGACTTCAAGTATTAAAAACAGAAAGAGAGTGAGAAAGAGGGAGCTATGGATCACGATGTGTCCTAACGATGATCTTCGGCTACTAATTAGATGATTAGCAGTTAGAGGACGCAGCGGGGGCGAAACTGGGCATAGAATCTGTAGTGATAGAAGTGTCTTGGGGACGTGTGCGTAGGTTCGGTGACGAGCAGTGACAGTGGTCACAGTACACAGCTGGACAGCCATAGCGGAAGCAGCGTAGAAGCTGGTGGCAGTCCACCGCCACCTCAAAGACGGCACTCCGCCATGCAAGGTACGTAGCGAATCTAGCAAAAACAAAACCACCAAGATACCCACAAGCTCGTGCTCATACCTTCTTTCCTTTGCCCGCTCCGTAGATCGTAGACTAGAAGGTAGAGAACAGAAAGAATCTGGAGTGGTCCGATGACGAACTTGTTCCCAGAAACGAGTCGTTTTTCTACCGGTTGGTTAAAACTAATTGACGCCTTGTATAGATTGAGCGATGGAATTTTAAAAGTCGTCTTTCTGCTTTGGTCACAGATGAAGGAAATATTGAATGGTCCAAGCCTCTGTTGTCTGTGATTACTTTTTATTCAAGATATTTGACCTTGTGAGGACAAATGACGTGTCTAGATGGCGGATCTTTATGCAAATATAGATTTTTGTGGATGGATATACCGAGACTGGAATTAAAGAAATATTTATTTATTCTGTCGAGGATTCTGTCAAGTTCAAAGTAAAGTAAAAACCTTATTAAAATTTATTAATCATTTTATTATGGATTTTGCAATATGGCTTCACAAATCTCGTAAGAAAGTAACCTAACTTAACTATTCAACTTTTCTTTTTGCAAACTTCCGTTTCTGCGACCAACCACGAAATTCGATCTGTCTCGGGTCCTGGGACTCAATCTTTACAGTTCTGAAACGACCACCTCATTCTAGCGGATGTTCCGTTCAAACACAGTAATCGCGTGAAAACTCGTTTCGTTCATCAGTTGGGTGTTAATTGAGTCTCTGCTTGTAACCGCGTGACTGTTAAACTGTTATTGTTGATATCTCGAGAGGATTCCAAGTAGTGTGTGAATACAGTGCTCTGTCGTTGGTAGTCAGTAAACCGAGAATGATTACTTGGAAACGTGTGATATTTGTTGTACGTCTATCGATGAGCATATTAAAGTTTTCCTCCCTGTATCTCTGTTTTTTTTTTTTTTCATTTTTGTTTTCAAGTTCATTTTCTCTGAATCATTCGGGATCTCGATCAGACGATACGTATGTCCCATGGCCACACTCACCTTCAATTCTTTCGTCTATGGTAATTGAAAACGTTCTATGGAACCGATGAGAAACTTTATCGTTCAGGCAGTTTTCTTTGTTATCGTATCGCCGAGCGTAGGTAAACGTGCTTATAGCCGCTTTTTATCTTCGGAGCTCCAGTCGCTTCAGTACATTTACCGCTTAAAGCTTCTTTGCAGAGACTCGCTTCTTCACGCAAGGGCCACTTTATGCATACACATATACGCATATATGTATATATATACATATTATGTATAATATACATACACAATTTATTATACATCCATACAGTACTCACGATCTTTCTGCACTCGCGGCACTCACTCTATAAGAATTGTCCAACCCGCTCGAAAACTCGAGTTTCTTTGTTTATTTACTATAAATTCTTTTTTTTTTTGTTTGTCACTTTTTCCCCGTGTTTCGATCGCCGACGATCATCGACGCGTCACGGGGATGTAACTATTGTACATTTTGTAAAGAACCATTTCGTATGTGGCCTGTGTGTGGTGCAGGGTCTGTTTTGAGAGGTGGCGCACCTCCGTTCCCTCACGCGGTAGCAGTGTTACCTCCGCTTCCTGCCAACCACAACCAGAATCACAACCACAATCATCATCATCATCACCACCACCAACATTATTACGATCATCACCATCACCAACCCCAAAATCCTCAAGGTGAGTCCGCGACCGTCTTGCCTGTGTGTCTTTGAGTTTCTTGCGAATGGGCTGGCTTTCTCGTAGAACTCGATCGTCGTTGCTTCCAGGTGACACGCCAGCATGATCTTAGAGTCTCACTTGGTGATGGATTAGAGAAACTTTAACCCTTTCGGTGTCTGTATTAGGTGTTTTTCGCGCAGAAGCACTTTATGATCCGAAAAAAATAATTTTATAAACCGGAAAAGAAAACCACCGCAGGGGTTAAAGTAGAAAATAACAATTTTACTAATTACGAATGTTTTAGAAGTAGTACGATAATTAGATGTATATTGTTACCGGAAGCAATGTATGTATCAGGATTGAGGTATCCATCGATATTATATGCCAGACGCATTAGCTCGATCTGTATGATAATCGCTTGCTCGATGAGAGTTTAACGCGTGCACGCTTAATAATCACGTGAGTATCGTCGCCTGTTTACCTGTGCGTGTGTGTCGTGTGTGCGCATCAAGGTGTGTGTTGCATCGTGCCTTCTCTGTCGTGTGCTGTTCATGATGTCGCGATCCCTCAGGATTAACGGAGGACCGAGGCTTCTTTTCAGGGTATATTAACCTGGTTTTTTCTGTGCTTCCCATTTCTTCTACAGATCACTAGCGGTCAGTAACGAGTGTTGTACAGTTTCCTCTGGAAAAAAAAACCCGCTCATCTGTTGCGAGCGGTTGTTCTGAACGAGTACGACGGGTTCCGTTACGGGATTATACCTCCGTTTCCAGTTATCGGATGATCACGTGTACAAGTTTCTTTTTATTTCCCACTAACCAGCCAAATACCACATTCCTGACATTACAGTTGATTTCAAACTGATTTGGAAATAAAAAATATCCACTAGCAGTAGAGAACATAAATTCTACATCATTCAGAAATCAATTTGAAAATAACGTCAGAAGTCTGTGTATCAAATCATCGACAGCTTATAAATACGAAACTTCTTGGAAGTCAATTCTAAAATCAGATATTTCTGTTTCCAGTGTTAAACCGGCGAAAAGTGGGAAATTTTTGAGAAACGCTATAATTGAAAATCGATAGATCAAATCTATCAAATTATTCAAGATTCGAAGAGCTTCCTATTCCACATTCTATTTCCAGACTTGTCACGTCAGTTTAATTTTACACGAATTTCGAATTTTCCGGGGGTAATTTTACCCTCGACCGAGTTGTCCTGCTCGTTCAGAATTGGCTAATGGCGGTGAATTTATTTGGCGGAGGATAAAAGGGAGGAACGAAGTAAGGCGGTGCGTGAGAGATCGAGAGAAAGAGAGTCGAGGGTTTTCAGGTTCTACGGGATTAGGAGTAGGCGTGGGTCTCGGAGTATCGGCTGGACTACCCCCTCCAGGCACGACGATTATGACGACGATGACGACCATGAGTACCATGACGTCGATGACGACGATGCGCCCGGGAGTCGGTGGCACTCAGTGCCGTCAGCCGCCTGCATACAAAGTCGCAGCACAGATGGCAAGGTTGCACAGGCTCGGCCGTGCTCACAGCCACGAGGGTGTTACCTACAGGACCGAGCACGAAGATGGTACAAAGCAAACACAATCGCTACGTACATACAATCTACTACCTTACTACGTTTCTATTATACGTTATTTTTTCTCGAATTTATATGGTCCTCGAGGCTTGGCGCTCCTTACCGATCTAGCGATGGGAAACTTTTGTGTGCATTAGAGTCAGTTTTCGATTGTCTGTTCAATTCTGCATGAGTACTTTGAGACATAATTATATTACAATTATAGTACAATTTTGAATAGACAAATTAATCATTAGAGTAATGTCAATAATGAATGTAATAAATTATTTAGTTGTAGAGTAATGACAGTATGATACCGTTGGTTGCTAGTAGTTCAGTTTTTACTAATAACTATTTGCCTGGTTATGCAGTTCAGAATGATTCAATTGAAAACTGGCATCAATCCCGTCGCTAGCTATGGTCAATGCACGGTGAAAAATGTTAGTCGCAGTGTTTGATTTTTCGCTTAGGTATTTGCCACGTGAGATCGATATTTTTGGTGTATTGTCGCTTCACGTTTTCAGACGTGTACGTTAATGTCAGCTTTCTTCTTGGAACATTACTAAAATTATTATCCAATTTATTATTGCATACAGTACAAAGGAAATATAAATTGTTTTCACTGTTTATTCTATATTTACACTTTAAATCTTTCTAGAAAATTCAGTGTTTATTGCATTATCAAATTTGTAACATTAACAAATTTGTTTGCAATATAATTGAGTATTGCAATTATAATTGAAACAATTTTTCTGTTCTGCTATGCATATCAATTTAATATTACTATTCTCAGTTCATTTCCAATTTTTACATTACATTCAGAATGTTATATACCCAAGTTACGTAACTGATTACTCACGAGCAGCGGCTCAAACATTCCCTTCAGGTTACCCCCACTATGGTCGTCAAATTGATTCACTCGAGTGTCTCCATTAATAGTCTTTCCGCCGCGACTCGGATGAGTCAATGTGAGGACCATAGTGGGGGTACCTCGGGAGAGGAAGTTCGAGCCGCTGCTGCTCGTGAGCAATCAGTTGCGCAGCTCTGTTATACAGGGTGTAACAAAAGTGTTGTAGGTCTCTGAAATGGGTCACTCTTGAGGTGATTTGGAACAAGTTTCTCCTTAGCAAAAATGTTATCCGAGGCTTTATTAACGAGATATTAACGAAAGTCTGTCGGCAGACTCGTGCTCTGATTCGTCGGGGTTTTTCGTTAATATCTCATTAACAAAGCCTCGGATAACATTTTTGCTAAGGAGAAACTTGTTCCAAGTCACCTCACGAGTTACCCCATTTCAGGGACCTACAACACTTTCGTTACACCCTGTATACATAAGACTACTGTGCCAAAATGTATCACGTCTGAAACGGTTCAGTGTACGCGAATTTAATTTTCCTTTCGTTCAAAGTATGACGCTGACTTACGTTACGTACCCACATGAGAGTAGCCTCCTGTAAGCTTTACTCTCGAGGGTAGAAAAGATTATGTATGAAAGTTATTCTAAGGTCTGTATCCACTAGAGAATTCTACAATCGACAATAAAACTCTCTAATGGACACGTGGCATTACTACTTTCATACTGAATAACATTTTTCGCCGTGATGATACGGCGGCAAACACTACTCGATTCTGATTTCAATTCGACACCGCGGCACAGAATTCTAGCTTTTCTAATCTTACAACTTCGTTAAAATTTTACCTCGGAATTGTCTTTACTCCAACCGAATGGAACACCACAATTACACTACGATCTTTCCTATGATCACACTGTTTATGATCTCTCTAGCTACCTTTAAGAGAACTATTCGCGTGTGTCACTTAACGTACAATGTGTATGTATGGACGATTCAAGCCAAGGATCGTTGCTGTTTGTTACTCGATGTACAATGCTCCGATGTAATCGCAGCGAAATATGTAAATAACGACACTTCCGCATTCCCCACTTGTACAGTTCGCAAAGTGCCTGTTTCCGTAACACACGTTGTAAGCATAACCCGTGTTCTGTTCTTTTTTTTTATATATATATATATACATATTATTTCTATACTCGTGTGATAAGCATCGTTCGCCGCACTCACTCCCCAAGCATAATACGCATTCTTATCACGGACCGTTTTGTTTTCTGCATCCACGTGAATTATATACGTTACGTATCGGTGTTCGTGCACTCGCTAGAGGCTTGTTGCAATTTATCCTGCGTTTTTCGACAGTTTGCAGTGGATATAGTACATATACATTGTTTTCCCTTCAGCGTTATTTTATTCTTCATTGTCGAGGCATGGCTAGCTTGCTTGCAACCATTCTGCACGTTACACTCCAAGAGCCCAGTTTCTTTGTTTCAAGTGATTTAATTTTTCTTGGATGTGATTTTTGCAGCTAGTTCTTTAAGGAAGTGTTGTCTATGGATAGAACTCCTGTAATCAGGAGACTCATGTCCACTTTGGAGGATTTGTTGCTGGTCTGGTTACTACTGAAACTGTGTTTTTGTGCAAACTTGAGTCTACACGTGGATACTGAACAATGTTGACAATTGTCTGTAGCATTTTTATGTATAGGTGAATAAGACAATGGAGCCAAAGATGGTGAAATAGTATCTCGAGTTTGGACCAAATGTGGACACCACAATTAATACCATCGCTCCATTTTGTTTATTAAAATATTGATTTTTATCTGACGAGGTTAATATACAGAACGAACTTTTTAATAAAACTATTTGTTAGTATAAATAAACTTATTTTTAACATAGTAACAATTCCATTTCAAATCAGAAAATTTCAGTCTCCTTTTAAAATATGATCAGAAATTTAAATTATTAAATGAAATCATTATTACATATTCATTTTTCAAATAACTCATTTATTTCTTGAAATATAATTTCGAGAAGTTAAGTACCGTTTCATAGTACGAAACTGCAAAATGAATTTATATTAAAAGTCGAAAATTTAATGCTACATCTTGGATACAAAAATTACAGTTTCAGGAGTTACATAGTACAAATATCCTCCGTCCCCATATATGTATAGTCAGAAGTAGTTTTAGCAATTTAGTATAACTATACTTCTTACAATTGCTATTATTGATTCAGTAGGCTCTAAATAGAAGACGGTTGCAAATTGTAAGTTCCACTGAACGTGTCCGTTTTAATGGTCACGAATGCTCAGGTATAAGTGTTAAGATTCAGCGAAGAGTTAGACAACTATCTCAGTGATCAGAATTCCGTGACCATCGTTGTCTAAAGGGATTGTTCAAATTTTTCAGACGATGAGGACGCCCAGGTGTCAGCGGTTTAAGCAAAAGTACCACGACGCGAGAGGAGTTTCCAGTTATCTTCGCTTCATCTTCACCCAGCCTGCCTCTTTCGTGAAAGGAACGAGAAATCCCTTCGTTGTCGCGCCAAGTGCCAGATTAAAACAATTTTCCTCGCGAGAGAATCGTAACGGTTCATTCAACCTGGTACCCGATCGAGTATCTCGAGAACGATTTAAACAAGCTGGAACATCCTTTGGACGGAAGGGTGCAAAAGGGCACAGAGGATGGAATGATCGACACGCACAGCAACTTTCTCGGTGCTTTTGCATCGGGAGATGATCAGGAACTCCGAGAAGCTTTTGAGTACGCTGCGGATGAAGCACTCGTCTTCCAGAACTGCTAGGCGAACCGTGGATGCAAACGAGAATCTCAAGAGCTATTCCCGTCGGAATAATTCGTGAAACAAAAACGAAGGCACGAGTATGTTCACGAAGGTGTTCCCAAATGAGGAGAGGGGAAACAAAAATACAAGCGAAAAGACAACGGCGGCTTTTCGGTCAGACTGATGGCGAACTTCTCCGACAGATATGGCAGGAGTTTGCGGGACTAGAGCACGAAAGAAAAAAAAAACGGTCGTAAAGTAATATTCTATATAAATGTGTAATAAATCGAGTCCAAAGATGTTATATATACCGCGTATCGTCGCAAGGGAGTACGGAATGACGGCGTGTCCTGTATTATATACTTTTTAGGCTAATCCCTCAAACGCCCCCTGTAGCTTAAGTATAACTTGGTGTACATAGCGTCGTAGCGATTAATCGTAGTCTAACCGTCGAGGAAGAATTGCGCGCGAGAGAGCGAGAGTGAGAGTGAGAGAGAGAGAGAGGAAATTCAGTGCAAAGCAGATCGGATACGTACCCAGGAATGATCCAATAAGGCGTCGTTAACTCGACGCGATCGTCGAGATAACGTCGATTTTTTCATTTTTCCTTTTTAAATCAATATACATAACGCCTGCCGGTGTAAGTTTTTAAAATTTTTTGTCATCACGCTTCAAGCTTTGTTCTTTGTTATCCGTTCTTTTTTTTTTTTCGATCAGAAAGCAGGGACGTTTCAACTGGCGGCAATGTTTGCTAGAAATTTTATTTCGCTTATATATATGTATAGTTCGATCGGCGTGACGGACATTAAAATTTCGTAACCCCCGATAGGAGAGAGATCCGATTTTACGGCTTCGATGTGTGTTGAATTTTACTGTTGACGCGATCAAGTACAAAGTATTTTTCAAAGACTAACCGCTCGGCGTTGCGAGACAGGCGCGGGACCGAAAGTACTGTTTCTGGACTTTTGGAATTCTTAATTAAGACGGTCGGTTTACGGCGTGTGTTTGCGGCCGTAAGTGTGCGTGTTCGCGGCGTCTAAATTGTGCGTGTGCAGATTGAAGAAGAGAGAAACCCGATGTGAGAGAGAGAGAGAGAGAGAGAGAGAGAGAGAAACCGCGCGCGTATGAGCGAGCGCGAAATCTTAAGAGGGAACGAAACACAACAAGGTATTAGCGTTTCAGGATATAATACGAGATGACGAAAAAAAAAAAAAGAAGAAGCAAATTTATATAATAATGCATCACGTATGCTCAACTTATTTTTACTGAATCTATTAACGGAAATCGAATTTTAGATCTGGTTGTAACTTAATATATATCTCGACGTTCTCGATTTGCTCTGTCGCCGATCGAAAAAAAAAAAAGGGATGCACACTTCCCGACGGCGATTTCGTCGAAACTCATATTTTCCGAAATTTTATCAGTATCACGGTACGTTTTAGTTTTATATAAATATATATAAATATATAAATATAAATATACCTGTAATGTATATCCGCGCCGTGGCAAGCGAAACATAAAGAGAAAAAAGAAAACGAGGGCCGGAGGGCCGATGATCCGCCGCGTTTTCGGAACGAATGTATCGTACGTGTTAACCGGTAACACGCCGGGGCAAAGATATGGCGGACCATCGTGTGGTGTTGTCCGTCGAGGCGGAGGCGCGCGCGGAGCCGGTTTATATTATCGAAGTAAATATCATTTTTCTTCGGCCCGTTCGACTCTATCGTATTGTAAGAACGTTCGAAGCGATTACGTATTCTCTTCGTTCGTTTTTTGTGTCGCACCGAGCCTCAAGTCCTTTAACGACGTGTGTATTAAAGGGAAATCGTGGATATTCGCGCGGTAAACGAGGACGAACGCGGTCATCGGAGAGAGGACCTAAATGTTCGTAAGGTATCTCCTCTCGTGAAAACGATCTGCCAAAAGACCCGCGGAAACCAAGAAGCAGCAGGAGTCTTTGAGGATCGACACGGTGTGTGCTTCTCTCTCACCTCCCCGTGATACTCGAGCGTTCGCCGTTGACATTCCAACTGTGTCTTGCCGTGAAAATCGTGGCCAACATGCTTCCCCCTCGCTCCCCGGACCGACTGCTCACGGATTATTAATTATTAACCGCGTACTTCTCCCGTGCCGAAAGACACTCAGAGAAACGTCCTCGAACACCGTGCTGATCCTCGCCCCCCGCGTCGTGTCCGACGTGTACCGGGGGATCGAGGCGACTCGTGTCCAGAAAAAAAGCAATTCCATCCCCTGGCACACCTAGGACCGTCGCCATCCCTCCGAGCAACATTTACTGCATATTCATATTAATATCTCTTTGTACATATCCTAATGACTTTTAAAATATTCTTAATCCAACGTTCTCGAAGGAACTGTTTAAATCATTGTATCCAGCGTTTTCATTGATTCGAGATAATTCTTCGTGATCCGAGCGTAGGAAGCAACACCGAAGGAGAGCTGACCGAGAAACGATCTCCTATACTCCTTCTTTCCGTTCTTCTCTGTTTTACCTTTCGAGACGATCATCGGCATACCTGACCATTTCGTTTCTCCTTTCACCTGTGCCCCCCTCCCATCGAGAGATCTTCCTTTTCGTATCTTTGACGGTTCAAGGACACGATCCATTCCAGGGAGCATTTACTATGCCTTCGCAAATTAACGCGATTCCGTGCCTCTTTAATATCGTTTCGTATCGATCAGATCGCGAAACAAACATCCAGTCGAGAATCTCTCTCTCGCCCCTCCGGTCACGTTGGATCGATCGCGATCCGTACGTAGACAGCTGTGACACCAGATCGCGATCACTTTATCGAAACTGGTGACCAAGTAATTTTTCTAAGAAGCGTGTTCAACCGACGAGCAATAATCCTTAAGACAACACACGAGACGGGAGGAGGATCGAAATGGCCGCGAATGTGTCGTTAAAGAGGAACGGAAGAGGCGTTCGCAGATTGAGGAGCGCGACGATTATGATAGTTAGTCTTGAATTGCTGAAGCCCGAGTCGTTCTTCTTCCCCTTAATTTTTATGAAACTGAGATCCACCTTGTCGTAGAGCCTGTGTAATTGCGAGCGAGTGATAGTATGTTTATTCGAGAGTAACAGAAAGCGAACGAGCGAGAGAGAGAGAGAGAGAGAGAGAGAAATATGTGGACAAGCCTTTGAACTTTCTTCTTCCAACGCGAACCCCCTGATTTCTTTTATTTTTATTTATGCCCCCTGACCCCCACTCCCTTTACTTTCCTGTTGTTTTAATTATTTATAAAACTTCGAGATGGAGCGACTGCGAATCGCAGTCCCTTCGCGAGCAACACGAGAAAAAAATACAGGAAACTTTTTGTATTTAATTTGTTTAATAAAACTTGGATCATAGTACAACATTCCGACTGGTTTTGGTTTCGAACACACACACATATACACTGCAGCAGGCACTCGTCCCGATGTTCTTTTTCTCTGTCGAAACGCGTCGTTCGCCATCCTCAATTCCCAACCCCAGACCTCTCTGCTCATTTATTTCGCGACGAAAAAATGGGACAAAACAGTACAAACGAAAAAATGATTATTAAAATGAGAAAAAAAAAATCGAGAGAAGGAGAGAAAGAAACTGCGAGCGAAGTTCTGCGCAAACACGTTTGTTGAAACGAACATTTACCCTTAGTTTTGTACATAAACGCGCGTCTGGCGCTCGCGCACCCTTCGCGTTTTCACTTGATTTCTCCTTTCGACAGATCTCTCTGAGTACGGTATGCATCGTTGACCAGGAATGTTTTCCAGTTTTCTTTCCTTCTAAATCGATTATATCGATGACGGTAATGAAGTCGAATCTTTATTTAGCTATCGGAAAAAAATGATATTAGGGTTCATTGAAATTGCAAATTATTCTTTAACAATTACACCCTTTTAAGCCTTTGACTTCTGCATAAAAATTTTTTTAAAACTGTTACACTTCGAATATTTTACACTTCTCCTTCCTATGATTTTTATGTATACTGTCACTTGAATGTTAAATTGAAACGAAAGGAAACATAACTTCTTATGTGGTTTCAACGGCGTAGCATCATAAAATAATTTTTTAATCTTATTTTATACAAATCTGTCCCAATTGTTGTTTTCAAAAAATTTGCTACTGTCATTGTTGTACATGAATAATGTGAAATATGTGTCTTTCAAATAGATAGTTTGATTGAGTTTTCGATAGATCTGACAGATGAGGGTTGACAACGTGGATTTTTTAAATATGAAAAATACTAATATTAGAATACATTCTCATATATAATCTTTCCAAGAATATTCCATTGCTCGGATTAAAATGAAAACGAAATAATAGTTAGTCTTTTTTCAAGCCTTTTGTTTGGTGAATGATGAATACACGGGAATGAAGGATTAAGCAATTTTTATTAAAATTTTGTATGGGACAAGAATATATCATGAAATGGAAAGGCCAATGAGTGATACCGTACGCAAGAGAAGAACCCGTGGGAACGAAACTGTTG